GTCCTTACCTGTAGACCTTGGAATGCTCGACCTCGACACGTGATATCGAAATGGGCGAAATCGCCTCTTGACGTCACTATCTTGATTCTTGATCTTGATCTTGATCAGTGATTGGAGTTGATCGAAACTACCCGCAGTGCAAGGCTTGCCTGAAAATGTTTCATTGAACTAATTTCAGGTGGATCATATGGAAGCAGAGCAATTAGGGGTCACCTCCGCTTCATTGCTGGCACACGCTTCGATTTCCATGATCTAAATTATTTCACAAAGCCTTGCCTGGGAACAATGAGTTATTTATTAAAATTGAGTAGTATATTGGAAACAAATCTAATTATGTAGTGAACGTTTCGGGAAAATAACAGCAGTGGGAGCAGTTTAGTGAATAAAATCCGTTGGTATTTTTTACCCCACCATTTCATTCAGTTAGTCTATATTTATGTGGTTAAATCATAAAAATTCTCCTGAATCACTGATTCGTTTGCAAAAAATAACTCCATATTTCCATAATAACTCCATATAATTGGATCACTTCGAAATTTACCAGAACGACTTGGGTAAAGCGAAGGGGAGCGTGAGCTACCTTAAGTTTGTGAAATGTCGGGTATCAGGTACATCCCTCTTCCATTTTTCTATTTTCCTATTCCACAATATGTGCGGCTTGATATCCTCTGCTCGAAAAGATAAGCTATCGCAGATATCTCACAATGCCTGTCTCTCACAATGTCCTGGAAACGTGGAAACGTGTGGATCCTCTTATCTGAGACGTGGATTGACCGTTGAGACATACAAGTTCTTCATCGTCGCAAACGGCGCAAGAACTTTTTCCTCAACCTAGTAATTTTCCGTCTGCCGTTAACGTGTTCAGCAAAACTTTTCCACTTTTCAACGGCAGTGTTAGTCACCTATGACTAACTTTGCCATTGTGATCAAAATCGTTTGGCACCACGTGAAGAGCTTCTCAACTAAGGTATCTGCAATGAAGGCAAAGGTAGGCTTTTAGTTTGGCTAAGTTTTGAATGGTTTATATTTGCGAAATGCGCATTCATGAGTGGATGGAGCTAGTTGTCATCAGTTTAGGTAATTGCCTATTAAGACCCAGTGAAGACAGGGTAAGGGTTGTATTCAGACTCCCTCCAACACTCCGCCATAAACCTCACCTAGCTCGGAGTAGCGCTCTGACCACCTGTAATCACAGATGAAGCCAGGAACACTTAATTTGGACCGAAGTTGGGTTCTTCTAGCACAATTTTCTAGCTATCACTTTGAAATCTTTTCGCTCATTTCACTGGCCACTTATTGGCTGACGAATTACTAGGGAATATTTTTTCCTTCAAAGTGCAGTGGACTTGGTCTCTTTACCAACTTACTGTATAATGTTGGAGAGAGATTGATTTCTGCTTTACTATTCGACAGAATACAGTGAATAATGACGCATAATGACGCATAATGAATACAGTGCAATGACGCATAATGGCGCATAATGAATACAGTGCAATGTTCTTTTCTGACGAAAAGAACATGGATGCTTAGTACTTTTATATGTACTAAGCATCCATGTTCTTTTCGTACCAAGTACTAAGCCCCGTCCCGTCCCATCCCTGCACGATCCGACTGTTCGACGGGACGTGACGTTAGATAAGGACATTTCTCCAGGTATTCGAGTGCCGCAGCGTTTACTTTTCTATAGGCGAGCCAGAGGAGAAAGCAAGAAACCGCCTTTCAACTATTTAATCACGAGGGATGGTAAGGATCCATTGATGAGAATCGCAACTGAAGAAAGCAACTCTTCAACTTATGAAATTATGATAGCAAAATATCTGCACATTCCTGATCGGAATTTTCAGCTGAAAACCATCTGCCTTGCTTATGTAACAGATGTAGCATTTTAAAGTTTTGAATAACTTGGCTTAGTATTAGGCCTAGAAGTCTAGCAATGTTGATGAAAGTTCAAGCATACTTGCAGGAGGAGAAAGCATTCGGAGTGCCTAGGGATTTCGCCTTGAAGAAAGCGTTGCAGTAGCCGCTGTTCCTCCTTTTCCTAATCATTTCACAAGAGGATGATTACTTCCCCATGGTCTCGGAAGAGTTTCGAAGAATTCACCAGACAAAGCTGGCGGACATAATTTTTACAGGTGATTTATTGCATGGTAAGTTGAGAATAGTTGCTTTGTTTCTGAGTATCAGGAGGGAAAAGTATTGTTCAGCAAACACTAAAACATACCTCCAAGATAATCATGAGGAAAAAGATTATTTTGGAGATATGTTTTAGTACCTACCTTTCTCTATTCCCCCATTATAGGATTTCCTATGGGGATAAAGGGGGAAACAAATTTCCCAAGCAGGCACATGGCTGGTGCTTCTCTCGGAAGGAACCAAGTTTCACTATATGTTTTTCAGTTCCATTTTCCACTGAATCACTTGGTCGTCTTCCTTTTGCAGCTCCAGCACTCCGTTCCAACTTTCCAATAGCATAAATAATTACCGTGTTTTCACTTCAATATACCAAGACCGAAAGAAGAACATGGCTCATGAGGCTTCCCCTCGCTAGCTCTTCTCACGTTGCTTCGGTATGGAACGTCCATCAAGGTGTGACGTCAGGACGCGACGAGGAGTACTCAGAATTCCATACGGTAGCAGCACTTTCGCTACTTCTATAGAGAGATGTGACGGATCAGCTACACATCTGAATCCGAAGTCGGATATCCGACAATCTACTGAATGGATGGCTTTACATCTGATTTCCTATGACCAATCTACTCTTTCGCCTAAGCTGTATTTCGTACATGTATCCATAACGGAGGGTTCCTCTTTTCATTGCACAGAGTTCACATTCTTCACTGCAAGATGCACAAGCAATCATTTTATTTTCAATTTTCTTTTTCTTTTCAAGAAAATGCTGAATTTCTGCTGCACGGGTTGACTCCTACTGATCTCAGAAGAAAGCTGGCTGTGCACGGAGCGGTGGGGCTGGGACTCTTATCATACGATGGCTACCATGTTATGACGTCGGGTGCTGTGATGGCGCCAGCCACGAGAAAATACTGATTCCCCAGGAGCTCCAATTTCAGGCTGTTTCTCCTCTCCAGGTAATTGTTTTATTACTGCTGACTGATTAAGAAGCTTAACCGCCATAGACTAAGAACTAGAGCATTCCCCATAAAGGTATGTCATGTTACAAGTTGGTGATTGTATAAAGACTAGTACAGTAAATACTTCTCAATCCATCCAGAGCATTTAACTCGGGATTGGAAGAGAACAGTTAAATGACGGATAGTTTTTTTTGGGCAGGAAATAAAATGAACGTGCTTTTGAGGCTTGGACCATGAAAGACTCATTTATTTTGTTGGAAAAACTCCTGCAGCTAGAACAGAAAACAGTATCTTTGCTATACAGAATCCGATCTATAGATATATCTGAAGCATTTGAACGTCTGTTACATGAACTTAAAATTTTTTTAAATTGGTCACTTGGATACCTGAAAAAATAACTAACAAATGAAATTTCCTTTTCCTTGTAACTTCCTGTCTCTAATGAAAAATTATGTTCAAGGTATCTGTGGGGAAACTGACTCATTTTTGCATTCAATAATTTTAAAAAAATTGCTGAATGTCATTGTATGCAGAAGCCCAACTCAATTAAGTATTTTTGAAAAAGACTACTGATGGCGAAGTGTCTGGTGAAGGTTAGTCAAGTGAGGTTCAGCAGGGACTATTTATTCAGCCCTTCCCCTCAGGTCAATCCTCCCCCAACACAACACTGGCAAGAGCATATGTGCACCACTTTGAAATTTTAAGCTTTAACCCTTTCAGAACTGGCATCCATTCCAATGGACATTGCATTTACATTGTGTCTATGGCAATTTCTTGGGATTCTCGTGACTTTGCGCTCCATATTACGCTACAAGAGGAGCAATTATACATGGCTCAGTTCTATCAGAGGCTTCCTTTCAAACATTAGTTTTGTAATCTTCACTTATTTAATTAAATATATAATATATGGTATGATATGGTAAATTCATATAAAATATGAAAAGTAGATATAAGACATGAAAATATCAATTTCAGTCTTGAAGAAGCTCAAAAATGCAGAAAAGGGTATTATTCCGATAACTGCCTTAATTCAGGTCTGAAAGGGTTAAAATATTTCCATCCGAATTTCAAGATTCTTTTTTTGTCACGTTGGTCACTATTACACGATTGGATTATATTTTTTGTTTCATAACGAGATTGCCAAATGTATACAGCTTCTGCAAGGCACAGATTACTCAAATACATAACACTTTCATACACATATGCACGTGAATATAGCAAAAAGTAGCCTTTCCTATTCATCAATAAAGACCTTGGAATGCTTTTCAGGCAAAATGGAACGTTTTGTTCTGCTTCTGCATCGCCTTCAAAACATCATGAAGAGAGAAGCTTTTGTGAATGCGGATCTATTCATCGAAAAGTTAGCTGAGAAAAGGGATCTTTCAGCTGATGAGGAAATAGAGCTAAAAGCCAAAGGAACATACAAGGAGAAGATCGATGGAGCTTTCTGCATTATACACACAAAACATCCACAGAAGACCTATGGTAATGTTCAGGATGCTTTACGAGAGATGGAGAGAGACGATATCATCTGTGAACTCCAGCAGGCAACCAGTAAGCAGAAATTTCAGTTCCATATCCAATATAGTGCTGTACATTTGAAATTTTGTTCATGGGTTTTTCTGAATGAGTGTTGATTCCGTGTCGACAGTTACGAAATGCCCATACACTCACGAAGGAGGAAAGGAGTATGCCCAATATAATGTTATTTTGGTCATTAAACAGAATTCAATGAGTCGTATTTCATTGGAAGGGGTGCCCTTTGCAGAGTAATGAAATTCCACTTTTATTAAAATCTGAGGGGTCTGAAAAAGTTAGGTCAGGTTAGGTTAGGTCAAGTTAGGGTAGGTTTCAATCAAATTATTTTGCATGAGTTTTTCATCAGAACACATGCTTTTCATAGTTTTGAGGGAAGAGAACTGCAGACTACCGATAAAAAATATCAATGTAAATACAAGTGAATTGCTATTTGTAAAATCTTACAATGTATTTAAGCCTTTATTAATGTATTTAATGTATTATTTAATAATAATACATACAAGCTTTCTTGCTTAATTGCTTAATTTTCCAATTCCCAGCTGAAATTCACCATTTACTTATAATATGGTGTTGTTTCTAATTCATTAGAATGCAGAAGGCATTTTTTGGAAGTCCCAATTGAAAAAGTAAAAATCATTTAACCTAACCTAATATACTCTAACTTTTTAAAACCCTTCACGCATGGGCGTCTGCTGGTTATTCCCAGGGGGGGGGGGTAAGGCACAAGAATGGCAGAACAGATGCACACACAAGGGTAATTTATCTTTTGTAAAATGATGATAAAGTATAAGGAATTATACCAGCATAATTCCATCTCAAATCAGCCAGAGGCTGGAGCATGACCCCCTCCGATTTTGATGAAAATTTTTCATGCTTTCAATTTTTTCATTCCTCATGACCCAAAGTTAGAATGTAAAATTTTGGTTTTGGGTATGGAACCGTTTTAGCACAATAATTTGTTAAATTTTGAAAATTAAAAAAAGGTACACCTCTTCACACTCGTGGGCCAAAAACTTTGTGACTTAAGCGAACGCAGAGAACACCATTGTTCTTCAGAATTTAGACTTTCGAAGTTATTTCATATCCTTTTCTCCTCGAGGCGACAATGAATAAAATAAAGCTATGTAAAATTTGCCTATTTTTGGTATATTAAAAAATTTGCAAAATGTCAACATGTTCATCTAACATAACATATTCATCTATGTTTTTGGAATCAGCAGAAGATCTAATGATGTGTATCCCGTTTTTGTCCCAACAAATTCCGTTTAAGGAGATGCGATGGCTCGAAATGTTCAAAATCACGAATTTCGCAAAAAAAAAAGTTTTCAATGGTACTACGTATGGTGCCATTTTCTATGCAGCTCAACAAAATTGAAAGATTTGCAGAATGTCTGCCATTTACTTGAACAAAAGATGAGAGCAATTTCAAAGCTCATATACTTTTTTAAACG